GAAGATAACTCTATCCGTTTATGGGATGTTAAAACAGGATAATAAAAAGCCAAATTAGATGGTCATTCTTATAGTGTTAATTCAATTTGTTACTCTGCTGATGGTACTAGATTAGCATCTGGTAGTAGTGATTACACTATCCGTTTATGGGATGTTAAGACAGAATAATAAAAAGCCAAATTAGATGGTCATTCTAATATAAATAACTCAATTTGTTACTCTCCTGATGGTACTACATTAGCATCCGGTAGTTTAGATAACTCTATCCGTTTATGGGATGTTAAAACAGCATAATAAAAAGCCAAATTAGATGGTCATTCAAGTGGTGTCTATTCAGTTTGTTACTCTCCTGATAGTACTACATTAGCATCTGGTAGTAAAGATAACTCTATCCGTTTATGGGATTTTAAGACAAGGTAAGAAATCTTACCTACTGATAATCGTTATAAAGATATATTAACACAACCTCCAACAATTTTAACCAATGTTCTTCAAAAAAGTGGTATTTTTTTTCGCCTATTCCTAGCCCCCTCATATATTACCATTCTAAAAATTTGTTTGAATCCCAATTTAGAAGCTAAAGAAGCTTTGATCTTAAAAGGAGAGTTTGTTGATTATAAAGGGTATGATTTACTATCATTATTTAAATCTAAAGGTAGTTTTATATTAGAGAATGAACCAAAATAGAAACAAAATTGATAATTATTAAATAGTCATTGAAATATATAATATCAAAAATTCAATTTATGTTAAGTGCCAAAATTTTGGAAAATGGTTGTTAAAATTAAAATACCAACGTAATTTTTTTTTTTTGTAATAATTGTGAAAAGAGAATCAACATGATCATGCCACCTGATAAACAAAATCATCTAACCAAAATAATACATTTGATATTTATAGACACTAAATGTATATATATTAATAACATCTTGTCTTATCTTGATGATATCTACATCAATTTATAATAAAATCTTACTTAATGAGAGTATTTTTAAATATTGATTGATTGTCCCTTTGAAAGGGATTAACATATAAAATAAAAATAATTATATAATTTAATCCATTAT